GTTGTCAGTCGCACTGGTCAGCCGCATGTTCATCCGAAGGTTAGTTTCTGCCAGTTTTTATCGTCCCGTATTGTGTTCACAGTCGACAGTTACGGTTACTATCAACAAGCACTAGACTAGTGCTTGCTCGCTAGTCGAGATTCAGAGCCATTCGTGCCACTAGTGACTTTGAATCTCGCTCGCATAAATCGGGCTTTCTTCAAGTATCTCCTGGAATCCAGAATCTGGATCGTTCTACACTTCATAAAGGCCTCACAGAAGATCTCATTCGTCATCAAATTATAGCGGAGGAAATTTTCCTCCGCTATAATTTTTCCTCAGGAAAAACTGCATCGCAGTTTTTCCATAGGTGAAACCTCGACGGAGAGTGCTTTCCCACTTCGGAATAGTGCGGATCTCCCAGCGCTGACTCAGCGCCGCTGAGGCGATCGAGAACTTGCCCGTTTCATTCGAGCATGTCCAGAGCGTGCCAGCCTCTCAGGGTGGTCGGTTTCCGGGGTTTATAGAATAACTCCCCCCTGGGGGTTATTCGTAAGCCCCGAGGTGATATAGTGGGGGTTTATGAGATGGGGGTTTATGAGATGGGGGTTTATTTTCGAGAATCCAATGAATCTGCGTATCCACGCTACCAACGGTTGCTCACTATGCCTCGTAAGGTGGACCCCAAGAGGTTGGATGCTCTCCAATACGTGAGAGAAACTGTGGTTATCATTGGTGATGAGGGAGTGTCGAACTGGTCAATTTAATGATGGTGAATGCAAGTTTGGAGGGGAGTGGGCTCACTATTTGTGAGTCACAGTTTGTGACTCACAAACGGCTCGACAAATTCAGGGATCACTTGATTATATAGAACCACCAACTTATATAGTACTCCCACACTAGACCGACCAACAACTTATGTAGTAGTCCCACACTATACCGACCAGTGACCGGTATAGTATTGGTGGTCGGCGACCACCAACTTAGTGTACACCCACAGTTTTGAGCTATACGTATTGCTGCCTCCATGTAAGTCTCTTCGGTGTATAAGCTTGTCAAGGTAGTAGCCTTATTGACTTGGACGAATGACCACCGAACATGTAAGTGAGCGATCCAGTATATAGTTGGGGCCTCGTAGTAATAGTTGTTGAATAGTGAAAGATACCCGTCCACAACCATGACAAGGATTTGCGAAGCACAGATTCACAGGCACTGGGACCAATGAAGGGGCTACGATTATATAGTATATAATCGCATCATCCGAGTATATAACATATACTCGGATGCGGTGACCGCATTGCGGTCAGTGATGAAAATCCAGCTGCATTCTTCCGTACCTTCGTTTTTCTTTCGCGCGCTCCGCGCGCGCCCGAATGATTTATTAGCCCCCGGGGTTTATACTCGTTAACCTCCGGGTATTTATCCGGGGTTTATTCGACGGGGTTTATTATAAACCCCGAGCCACCGACCACCCTGCAGCCTCTACAAAGAACGCGAGCTATACTCGGGTCTTTGTTCATATTTTTTTAATCTTCCTTATTTAACCAAGGTCTAGCGAGAGGTAGTTGTTCATCTCGGCCCTGGTTTGCGTTAGAAAACCGGCCACGAGAAATCATCCACCTTGCAGTTGCCGAAAGCTACAAATCACGGACCCAGTTTACGGGTTCCGTGTTGTGGTTTTCGACCACTGCCCCTCCCGAACTCGCAGATCAGAGGTTTCACCCTGGGGAAACACTGTTGACAGCGGATGAAGAGTATGTACTACAAACTGTAGGGACATATATCAAGCATCAACAAACGCTTGGAATCTCCGGTAAGTCACCCGAACACGGACAGAAAATTACCGAGGGAAAGCATCGCATCGAGACTAAAGTTCCTGCATGCATCAGTCGCTAGGCATCTGAAGCTTGACTTCAACCTAGAGTAATGCACGGAATACCTCGAATTCGCCTCGGAACAGTAGATTTTTCAATTTTTTTCTTTAGGCGTGCACTACTCACAAAATTTCCATTCTGTCAGCCACCGGGTGGCTGCCATCCTGCATTTCACAAATTGTCATTACGGTTACAGTGTAACAGTAGTTACACTGCAATGCAGTGTAATAACTGGTACTGTAACAGTAATTACAGTGTTACACTGTCATACAGTGACTGCATAGTTATTCCCGATTTTTAGTGGCATGAGATGGAAATGATAGCCTTAGTAACTTACTAGCTCTGTATTTTACTGATAGTAAAATACACAAGAAAAGCTCGGCACTGTTGTCGATGAACTACAAGTTTTACCAGTTGCTCAACGTTGATTGATTCTGTTTCATCGCCATCCAACGCAACTCAGAGGCTAAGCAGTCGACACGTGAGACGGGAGAAGCACACGTCGTCAGCAAAGTCTTCACACTTCCGATATAATCAAGAGTTATAACGGCATGCAATCAATACAGCAAATGTTTCATTCGAATTCCAGGGATTATACCGAATGATTCTGAAATGGAATCAGTCTGATCTGGGAACTTTCATCATAAATTCTTCTTCTTTTTCTTAGCCACTGCCTTCCTTTTCGCACCCATCTTTCTGAGTTTTTTCGGCTTTTTCGCGACATCAACTGTGGAGCTGGGGTCCGACAGAAGACGAGGCATCTGATCGTAAATTGGTTTCGTCGATGAGAAAAGAATAACTTGAATTCATAATATAGTGTACATCAAATTGATATGAGAAACTCCAATGATAGCGAACAACCTGCCGCTATCACATTTTCAGGCAGCTGTTTTCATTACATCGGATGATGACATGAATTACGCGATAAAGTCTCAGATCAATTCTTGGAAAAGAACACACATTCTTCACATCAAATGCACCAGTTGACGTCACTCTACGATTACAAAACACAGAGTAACAAAGTCTTCTGATTCCAACGATCTCATACACCATGTGTTTTCTCACTTTTTTTCACAGTGTTAAGAAATTACCTACAAAAAGCTATCAACATGAATTATTTACTTACTGGAGTTTCAATCGTTCTACGTTAAGTGGTGTAATACTCCATGTGGAAAACGCGTTCTTCGCCAAATGAAATATATATTTTCCATATCACGGATGAAAGTTTCATCCGCGGG